TTCCAATGGAAGAAGGGGTTGGACTGGATGACCCTTGGGGTGCCTTCAAGGTCTATAATCCTTCCAATGGCAGAAGGGGTTGGACTGGATGACCCTTGGGGTACCTTCAAGATATATGATCCTTCCAATGGAAGAAGGGGTTGGACTGGATGACCCTTGGGGTGCCTTCAAGGTCTATAATCCTTCCAATGGCAGAAGGGGTTGGACTGGATGACCCTTGGGGTACCTTCAAGATATATGATCCTTCCAATGGAAGAAGGGGTTGGACTGGATGACCCTTGGGGTGCCTTCAAGGTCTATAATCCTTCCAATGGCAGAAGGGGTTGGACTGGATGACCCTTGGGGTACCTTCAAGATATATGATCCTTCCAATGGAAGAAGGGGTTGGACTGGATGACCCTTGGGGTGCCTTCAAGGTCTATAATCCTTCCAATGGCAGAAGGGGTTGGACTGGATGACCCTTGGGGTACCTTCAAGATATATGATCCTTCCAATGGAAGAAGGGGTTGGACTGGATGACCCTTGGGGTGCCTTCAAGGTCTATAATCCTTCCAATGGCAGAAGGGGTTGGACTGGATGACCCTTGGGGTGCCTTCAAGGTCTAAGATCCTTCCAATGGCAGAAGTGGTTGGACTGGATGACCCTTAGGGTGCTTTCAAGGTCTATGATACTTCCAATGGAAGGAGGGGTTGGACTGGATGACCCTTGGGGTGCCTTCAAGGTCTATAATCCTTCCAATGGCAGAAGGGGTTGGACTGGATGACCCTTGGGGTACCTTCAAGATATATGATCCTTCCAATGGAAGAAGGGGTTGGACTGGATGACCCTTGGGGTGCCTTCAAGGTCTATAATCCTTCCAATGGCAGAAGGGGTTGGACTGGATGACCCTTGGGGTGCCTTCAAGGTCTATAATCCTTCCAATGGCAGAAGGGGTTGGACTGGATGACCCTTGGGGTGCCTTCAAGGTCTATAATCCTTCCAATGGCAGAAGGGGTTGGACTGGATGACCCTTGGGGTGCCTTCAAGGTCTATAATCCTTCCAATGGCAGAAGGGGTTGGACTGGATGACCCTTGGGGTACCTTCAAGATATATGATCCTTCCAATGGAAGAAGGGGTTGGACTGGATGACCCTTGGGGTGCCTTCAAGGTCTATAATCCTTCCAATGGCAGAAGGGGTTGGACTGGATGACCCTTGGGGTGCCTTCAAGGTCTATAATCCTTCCAATGGAAGGAGGGGTTGGACTGGATGACCCTTGGGGTGCCTTCAAGGTCTATAATCCTTCCAATGGCAGAAGGGGTTGGACTGGATGACCCTTGGGGTACCTTCAAGATATATGATCCTTCCAATGGAAGAAGGGGTTGGACTGGATGACCCTTGGGGTGCCTTCAAGGTCTATAATCCTTCCAATGGCAGAAGGGGTTGGACTGGATGACCCTTGGGGTGCCTTCAAGGTCTAAGATCCTTCCAATGGCAGAAGTGGTTGGACTGGATGACCCTTAGGGTGCTTTCAAGGTCTATGATACTTCCAATGGAAGGAGGGGTTGGACTGGATGACCCTTGGGGTGCCTTCAAGGTCTATAATCCTTCCAATGGCAGAAGGGGTTGGACTGGATGACCCTTGGGGTGCCTTCAAGGTCTAAGATCCTTCCAATGGCAGAAGTGGTTGGACTGGATGACCCTTGGGTGCCTTCAAGGTCTATAATCCTTCCAATGGCAGAAGGGGTTGGACTGGATGACCCTTGGGGTACCTTCAAGATATATGATCCTTCCAATGGAAGAAGGGGTTGGACTGGATGACCCTTGGGGTGCCTTCAAGGTCTATAATCCTTCCAATGGCAGAAGGGGTTGGACTGGATGACCCTTGGGGTACCTTCAAGATATATGATCCTTCCAATGGAAGAAGGGATTGGACTGGATGACCCTTGGGGTGCCTTTAAGGTCTATAATCCTTCCAATGGCAGAAGGGGTTGGACTGGATGACCCTTGGGGTACCTTCAAGATATATGATCCTTCCAATGGAAGGAGGGGTTGGACTGGATGACCCTTGGGGTGCCTTCAAGGTCTATAATCCTTCCAATGGCAGAAGGGGTTGGACTGGATGACCCTTGGGGTGCCTTCAAGGTCTAAGATCCTTCCAATGGCAGAAGTGGTTGGACTGGATGACCCTTAGGGTGCTTTCAAGGTCTATGATACTTCCAATGGAAGGAGGGGTTGGACTGGATGACCCTTGGGGTGCCTTCAAGGTCTATAATCCTTCCAATGGCAGAAGGGGTTGGACTGGATGACCCTTGGGGTACCTTCAAGATATATGATCCTTCCAATGGAAGAAGGGATTGGACTGGATGACCCTTGGGGTGCCTTTAAGGTCTATAATCCTTCCAATGGCAGAAGGGGTTGGACTGGATGACCCTTGGGGTACCTTCAAGATATATGATCCTTCCAATGGAAGAAGGGGTTGGACTGGATGACCCTTGGGGTGCCTTCAAGGTCTATAATCCTTCCAATGGCAGAAGGGGTTGGACTGGATGACCCTTGGGGTACCTTCAAGATATATGATCCTTCCAATGGAAGAAGGGATTGGACTGGATGACCCTTGGGGTGCCTTTAAGGTCTATAATCCTTCCAATGGCAGAAGGGGTTGGACTGGATGACCCTTGGGGTACCTTCAAGATATATGATCCTTCCAATGGAAGAAGGGATTGGACTGGATGACCCTTGGGGTGCCTTTAAGGTCTATAATCCTTCCAATGGCAGAAGGGGTTGGACTGGATGACCCTTGGGGTACCTTCAAGATATATGATCCTTCCAATGGAAGAAGGGGTTGGACTGGATGACCCTTGGGGTGCCTTCAAGGTCTATAATCCTTCCAATGGCAGAAGGGGTTGGACTGGATGACCCTTGGGGTGCCTTCAAGGTCTATGATCCTTCCAATGGCAGAAGGGGTTGGACTGGATGACCCTTAGGGTGCTTTCAAGGTCTATGATACTTCCAATGGAAGGAGGGGTTGGACTGGATGACCCTTGGGGTGCCTTCAAGGTCTATAATCCTTCCAATGGCAGAAGGGGTTGGACTGGATGACCCTTGGGGTACCTTCAAGATATATGATCCTTCCAATGGAAGAAGGGATTGGACTGGATGACCCTTGGGGTGCCTTTAAGGTCTATAATCCTTCCAATGGCAGAAGGGGTTGGACTGGATGACCCTTGGGGTACCTTCAAGATATATGATCCTTCCAATGGAAGAAGGGGTTGGACTGGATGACCCTTGGGGTGCCTTCAAGGTCTATAATCCTTCCAATGGCAGAAGGGGTTGGACTGGATGACCCTTGGGGTGCCTTCAAGGTCTAAGATCCTTCCAATGGCAGAAGTGGTTGGACTGGATGACCCTTAGGGTGCTTTCAAGGTCTATGATACTTCCAATGGAAGGAGGGGTTGGACTGGATGACCCTTGGGGTGCCTTCAAGGTCTATAATCCTTCCAATGGCAGAAGGGGTTGGACTGGATGACCCTTGGGGTGCCTTCAAGATATATGATCCTTCCAATGGAAGAAGGGGTTGGACTGGATGACCCTTGGGGTGCCTTCAAGGTCTATAATCCTTCCAATGGCAGAAGGGGTTGGACTGGATGACCCTTGGGGTGCCTTCAAGGTCTATAATCCTTCCAATGGCAGAAGGGGTTGGACTGGATGACCCTTGGGGTACCTTCAAGATATATGATCCTTCCAATGGAAGAAGGGGTTGGACTGGATGACCCTTGGGGTGCCTTCAAGGTCTATAATCCTTCCAATGGCAGAAGGGGTTGGACTGGATGACCCTTGGGGTGCCTTCAAGGTCTAAGATCCTTCCAATGGCAGAAGTGGTTGGACTGGATGACCCTTAGGGTGCTTTCAAGGTCTATGATACTTCCAATGGAAGGAGGGGTTGGACTGGATGACCCTTGGGGTGCCTTCAAGGTCTATAATCCTTCCAATGGCAGAAGGGGTTGGACTGGATGACCCTTGGGGTACCTTCAAGATATATGATCCTTCCAATGGAAGAAGGGGTTGGACTGGATGACCCTTGGGGTGCCTTCAAGGTCTATAATCCTTCCAATGGCAGAAGGGGTTGGACTGGATGACCCTTGGGGTGCCTTCAAGGTCTATAATCCTTCCAATGGCAGAAGGGGTTGGACTGGATGACCCTTGGGGTACCTTCAAGATATATGATCCTTCCAATGGAAGAAGGGGTTGGACTGGATGACCCTTGGGGTGCCTTCAAGGTCTATAATCCTTCCAATGGCAGAAGGGGTTGGACTGGATGACCCTTGGGGTACCTTCAAGATATATGATCCTTCCAATGGAAGAAGGGGTTGGACTGGATGACCCTTGGGGTGCCTTCAAGGTCTATGATCCAAGGGCAGAAGAGGTTGGATTGGATGACCCTTGGGGTGCCTTCAAAGTCTATGATCCAAGGGCAGAAGAGGTTGGACTGGATGGCCTTTGTGGTGCCTTGAAGTTCTATGATCCTTTCGATGGCAGAAGGGTTTGGACTGGATGACCCTTGGGAGGATCATAGACCTTCCAAGGGCAGAAGGGGTTGGACTGGATGACCCTTGGGGTGCCTTCAAGGTCTATGATCCTTCCAATGGCAGAAGGGGTTGGACTGGATGACCCTTGGGGTGCCTTCAAGGTCTATGATCCTTCCAATGGAAGAAGGGGTTGGACTGGATGACTCTTGGGGTGCCTTTGGGGTCTCCTCTATTTTCATGATTCTAATTCTGTATTCAGAAGGGGTTGGACTGGATGGCCTTTGGGGTCTCCTGCATTTGTACAAGTCTTCCCAAGCCCCTCCTTCCCGGCTGCTTCTTCGCCTTCACCCTTTCCTTCCTGGTCCAGCTCCGCCATGCGCAGCATCCTTCTCCCTCTCGCCTCCTTCCTCCCTTCTTTCCATCCTTCCTTCCTTCCTTCCTTTGCCTCCAATCCCTCCCTCTCTCTCCTTCCAAGCCTGAGATCTGGATGGTGATGGGAAGGGGGTCTCTCTGTTGTGTTGACCTCCCCATCCCCATCCCCATCCTTCTCTGCCTTCCTCTTTCCCTTTAAGGAGGAAGAAGGCAGGGCGCTGCAAGGACATCCTCCTCCTCCCCCTTCCTCACTTCTGGAAGGAGGAGAAGGAGGAGGAAGCTGAAGTTTTGTGTTTTCCCCCATCCCATTTGCCAGGAAACTTCTCTACTTGGGGCCATCAAGTCCTGAAGTTCTGGAGGAGTACACCTGGGTGCAGGACGGGACGTCCAACTTGGCTTTCCCCATGCTTCTTCTATTCCAGATTCCAAAAAAAGTCCTTCTTGGCTTTGGAAAGAGGGAGGTGACGCCTGCCCGCCCGCCTCCCTTCCTCCCTTCCTTCCTTCCTTTCTTTCTGCCTCCGAGCAGGAGATGAATCTCCAAAGGCTTGCCTGGAATGGTAAACAGAGAAAGCGAGAGCATCCTCCATCTGGGAAGGTTTGAACGGCACAGACGTAGAGTTGGGTTCTCCTTTGAGGCCCCAACATCTGGACCCACCCCATGGTTGGGTATTGAGGGTCAAGGGCGAGACGAGACTCGGCCCCACAGATGGGGAGCGGACTATGCACCCGGAGGCAGAAGAGCCTCTGGCAGATGGGGCTCTGCTTGGTGGCCCTGGCTTGCTTGGTCTCAGGAGGCTTCCTCTACAACCACTGCCAGCAGAAGATCAAGTTGGCCAAAGACTTGGCCCTGAAGTACAAGCAGCAACAGGAGGCCCTTTCGGCCCAACTGCAAGGTGAGCAAGGCCCTCTCGGTTCAGCTACTTCTTGTTCAGCAGTGGAACTCTCTGCCCCGGAGTGTGGTGGTGGAACTCTCTGCCCCAGAGTGTGGTGGAGGCTCCTTCTTGACCATCTGTTTTTGATGCTTTGATTGCAATTTTCCTTCTTCTGGATGGCCCATGAGGTCTCTTCCAAC